CGGACTTGGTATTCAATCTCGTACTCGCTTAGTCTGAGCCTGGCCTCCAGCGGTAAACGGGGGAAAGGGAATCAAGGGTTCAGAATAGACTCTAGTAAGTACTAGTAGCACCGAACGGTGGTACGCGTAAAGCCCGTATGGGACCGAAACGTCCGGGGGGATTCGGAAGGTAAATGTGAGAACGCGTGTCCGACTGCAGGTCGCACAGGGCCTTGGCACGGCGTTCGAGATTGCGCGTTAAGGCGGATCTGAAGCTCGCACAAGTTTATTTTTCAGGGGTTTCTTGGCACGAACGATGCGCCACAGATCTTCCAAATAAGGAGTAGCTCATGTCTCTTTCTGCGAATACGGGCGGAGCTTCGAGAACCTGTGCGCACCAAAGACAAAACATGATCAGTTTGGACTATGAATCATGTCACGAACCCACGAACTTGGTGAGGTGTGGCGCCTTTGCCTAAGGCCGTGCTACTGCTAAAGTTTGCTTTATTCGATTATTGTAAGCGCAACTATATGAAGATGGAAATCACTAACATGTCAACCGAGAAAACATTCGTGTCGAAATGATTCGGACTGTAAACAGTGTAATGAATCATCATATTACCTCTTGTAGATCACCCGACAGACAGAGTCGTCGGGCGTAAGACTCGCAGTAATGCGCTCCAGTGTCTCAAAGAGCTCATGTGACAGTTGCCAAGGCGGTTAAGCGGTTCTGGGGTCCTCTCAAGACATAGAGACGTGAAAGTGACTCAGAACATTGAGGGAGCAAAGGAAATGAGAAATAAAGCAAGAACGAAACCAAGGACAAAGGGAGTTGACGTGAGACCACATCAGAAAGACCAAGTAGCACATGTTTTTCTATGACAATGAATAGATCGAGTTCAACGAGAGTGGGGTGCTTTCTTCAGAATGGAAGCCGTGATGAACCAGAAAGAGACGGTATTGATGCGTGCATATGCTGAAGAGAATAGCGGAGAGTGGCGTGGCATCACAGATCTAAATCGAGCGTGGCCTAGGCGTCGAGACTCCATATCCAGGGTTTTAGTGCATCCAACGTCAAGGAATATTTTACGCTGTTCGGTATGTATGTGGTAACGGTTGTCGTGATACCCTTTGCGAGGTACCATCCGGACCGCGCATTTATACCATCAGGATGCGAACAACGTGTGTGGACGGGGAACACCGAGAGGGCAGAGTAGATAAGAAAAAAACGAACTTTAAGTGACTGCCGCCGAGATGGATATGACGCGTTTGATGATACTGATCCGTGGGGTGTTGGGGTCTCTGACGGGCAGGGAGACGCGTACAATGTTACTGTATCAGCAATGTACGAATGCATGCCGGCAGGGCGAGGTTTGGGAAACGGATGTCTGCAAATCGAGTGGATGAGGTCTGGATGAGGGAGACAGTCAAATTTGGTCGGAATGTGGCATCAGCCGGGTTTCCGCGTAAACACGAACCAATGGTTACACTAAGGACGCCACTACACCGGAGCCTCTGCTTTGAGTTGGCTTTGAGACGGTGACACAGTACTGAATTCAGTGCTTATCAAGGGCACCGAGCTCGAGAATCCTCTTATCACGAGCAAGATGGAGGCCTTGAGGCGAGTTGATCAAAATGAGCTTCCAACCTGCTTCCAACCCAAGACGGTATCCTGCGACTTTGGTACTCTATTAATAATGCGGATCCGCTAGGGCGAACACGCACACGAAATACCAGGGATAACACCTCCATTCGATGGTGGCGTTTACGCGTCGGAATCCATTGAGTTTGGCATGGAACCCGGTGTAGTGCTACACCCTTTGCCCACAAAGTACCCAGCAGCAAGAACACATGCAATCCCCTACACCCTACGCAGCGAAAGACTGGAGATGAAGGATAATCATAGCGATAAACTCGGAGTTGAAACTCTTCCCTTTGATGATTCGGACGCGATGGGTCTGTGTGATTATGATTTACTTTCAAGGAAAAGATGAGCGATATGAGAGTGATATGAGCTTTGAGGTCCCAGGGGAGCTCGGGGTTAATGTTGTGGTTCGGGCTTGTTCGCGTACACTCAGAGACACAGAGGAAACAGTAAGATCCACCTTGGAGACGTGTCGTAAGGGGATGAACGTTGCAGATGAAGACCGATGAACGTTCGAGGACCGCGGGAGGATATCTCTGACTATGAGAAAGCTGATTGAGCAATACAGTTGAGTGACGGGGAGGCCGGGTTAATGTATCCGTCATACCGAAAATATGTACGCGTCGATGCCGACTGCACAAGAATTGATGGTGAGCATCTCATCTAATTTACGACAGTAATCACGGCTTCGAGGTGTAACGTGTAACGTCCGCCCGGGATTAAAAATGCAATGCTGACGCTGCGCGCCGCAGAGGGATCCAGGACAAGACAAATCTGAAGCAAAGTTTGAGCAAAGTCGGCGGCGGGTGCGTCGTCCCTTCACTTCAAACACTTGGCTTGAGTGCAACTGGAGTGGGCGCGACAGGCCTTGACAACCAGGTCCCCGAATGGGTGCGTGGCCGGAGAAACTCGCAAAAAATTTAGAGTGGAACACAACAGTCACTGAAAATAAATTTCAGGTTCAGGGTTGAGGCGTTAATTTCCGATGTGGTGGGCTGTAGGTCCCTGGTAAGACTGAACTCGCACGTTCGTACTCTGTTCGGGGAAGAAAGGGAGTCAGCAGTAAGAACGCCTTTACGGGGGTTGCCGTAAACGGACTCGAAGAAAGCAAGGGAGCAGAGCAGAATAGGAAGCGTCGCCGAATCTAGATGCTCGGAGGCAGATCTCGATGGGTTGACCGGGGGACCCTTGACACCCCTTCGTAACGCCAAGTCCGAGGTCATATATCATATATGCATCTCAACTTTCACTTGCTCATACCATCATCCTATTCTCCTTCCATGTCGCGGATTCGCTTTGCACCGCTGCCCGACCCTCACGTCCTCACCGTCCACGACGCCGACGACGATGACAACTATGATGATGAGCCTCTCGACACCGAGCCGTCCAAGAGTCCTAATCCAAAGCTGTTGTTCCCCTTCACCCTACCGGGAGCCAAGAAACCTTGCGACACGTCGTCTAGTGCATCCTCTTCAATGCACAGTCTGACGCCTACCCAGAGCATAGACTCAACTACACCACCGGCGAGAAAGTCCCGCTTTCTCCGTATGTTTCGTTCAAAAGAAAAGGTGTGTCTTGCTTCTCACATCTGATTAGATTTATCGCTCACCTAGCTTCTAGGATACCTCACTATCGCGCTTCTCTTCCTTAAATTCCTTTGGGTCTACCGCGGCCTCCGACTCTCTATTCCGTGCGCAAAGCAACACGTCCAATCGTGGTAGCGTGCGCTCTACGAAATCCTCTAAACCCCAGCGGCCCTCGACATCTGATGGTCTGCTAGCGACGTTACACACGCAGCGTAAGCACCCCCAGCTCATGCTCAATGGGCGCGTCTATGGGGAGCGCAAGAACCCGTTTGAGTCTGCACCTGACACCGAACCCGATTTCGTAGAATGGGGGTACGGTGGCATGGGCAGCGTCAAGAACCAGCGCGAAGTTGGTGGCCGCATGTGGGGCAAGGTCCAGGGCAACACTGGTATGACCGGTGCCGATGACGAAGATGATGGTGGCGGAATGGGCTGGGTCAAGCGTCGCAAGGAGGAGCGCGAGCGCAAGGCCAAGGAGGAGGCAGACAAGAAGGCTCAGGAGGCGGCCGAGTTGGAGGCTCAAAAGGAGCACGACACCCGCGCCATCACCGTGCCTCTTCACGACGACGAAAATGATGAAAATGACGAAGAAGACGACGACAGTCCCGCAGAGGACAGTCCTGACGACGAAGATGTTAGCACGACTGTGGAGCCTCGCAAAACTAGTCTAGGCGCAGGCGTAGAGAAAGTTTCACGACATAAGACTTAAATCTCCCTTACATTTCTTCATTCGGGGTTTTTTGAACATTGGCTATCTTAGGTTCGCTCTAGTTGGCGATTTGTTGTGTGTAAACTGCTGTGGCATCATCTTGCGATGCGTATATCTTATTACTCTTTACATACTAAATACATTCATACCCTCTCTTCGTAGTGGGGATCCTCGGAAATTGGTCTACATTCTGCGGGTCATCCGCTCCCATCAACACCGGTTTCTACATTCTTCGAGATCCTTCTAAACACGCCGAGTCCACTTGTTCACTTCGCCGCAGACATCAGGTGTTACACGTCGTCTTCGTTCAAGGCGGTGCCGACCACGTTTTTTCACATGTCTGGTTCTGCCTTTGTTGCCGTCGACCTTTGAATCCGCGCTCCCGTGACATTCGCGTCCTATGTGGAGCGTAGGAATCAGCGTATCCTTGGCGTGTTCGACCAATAGGATACGAGGTACAAGGCCAAGTGATTCTTCATCATTCCAAGAGCTTCTTATCAACACGGCCTTCTTGCTCAGCTGCTCGCGTGAGTTATTGAAGTTCCACCGCTGTGAAATCTGGTTGGAGTAGAAGTCCCGCTAGGAACTAACTGCCGTTGTTTGCATGCTGAGACCGTACTTTCCGGTGACGCTTCCTCTTTAACTGATTCACGACATAGAGGAGGCGTGGGAAATCCTAACGTAGAATGAAGCATCGATCTGTTCGTCGTTTCATCGCTGGAGCGTTGGATATTGAATAGCTCACGCGAGAGTATAACAGTCCCTCCACCATTCATTTGGCCGGTTCAACTCATTCAGCGTTATATTGCGGCATCACATCGGCGTTTGCTGAGAGTGGTCCTAGATGGCTAACTTATTCCCGGAACCTAAGCTTCAACGGCGTAGGAAAAATCAGTTGCCTTCACAGAGAAGCGTCGTGGCGATACTTGCGATCCAGCGCTGAATCCTGATCGTTCGCCGCTTGGCCGGTCGGTGGGCACTGGGGAAATTGGGATCAAGATTCAACTTACATTTTCAAGTTTCAAAATTCAGCCATGTGCCACCACGTAGAGCAAAACGACAAACTTCAAGAAGGTCGATATGATCCCTACCTGGATTGAACAGATGGCCTTGTGGAAGCAAATCCTGAGCAGGAAAGCTGGAATCACACACTCTACCGCTGAGCTAAGGGATCGTGCCTTTTCAGCTCACCATCAGCCCTCTCTCGGGAGCATGCTCATCTCGTCTTAATGTAACTCGCCCCCCGTACACCCAATGATATTTACAACTATAGCCTTCTATCGAGAGGCTCTACGGAGCGTATTAATAGATTTAACTCAAACGAGAAGTGTAATCTACCGCCTTTTTTCGCCAGGCAGGCTATAAATAGGACTCACGTCTCGTTCAATAGGCTTGTGCCGACGGCCAGCCGTCTTCTAGTGTGCTCCCGTTGAACCTCGGTCATTCTGGTTTCATTTTCCCATTTAGAAGGTCCCGGTAGTAGCAGCGGGAAGACTCGGATTCAACCCATGCTGCTGTAATGCTTTCGTTATTTTACGAGCTGCGTAACCGGTATACGCGGATTGCCGGAACTGATTACAGTGAGAAGCTGTAAGAAGCCCCCGCGCTGCAGTTCTATGCCCGACCGGGCACTCAACGCATTCAAATGTAGGTGGCAAACGTACGCAAGTAGCCGTAAAACTGTATGCCCGCGACAGCTAAGAACCCAAATATAGAGTAACCATGCTGTTTCCCGAGATGGTGTGGCATCCTTCGACAGTTTCAATTAGGGTGTAGTATCTGAATCAGTCTTCAGAGAAGTGTAAGCCAATAGAAGAGTCCGGGATTCTGTAACATGGGTTCAATTTAAGCACAGCGGGTCAAATTGACAGAAACACCGAGCTATAGTACTCACACTTCCAGTACAGAAATAGCCGAGTAGTGTACAGGAACAGCGGTGACACAGACGGGTTGAATATAGTTCGCTAATTCGAGTCCGTTTGGACATTCTAGTCTATGGTCAGCACGGGGTGACGCCGCTCATGCGAGTAAGTAGCCGAAAGAAGCACGAATCTCTCTAGCTGTCAGTTGAAGTGCTATGAAGCAGTTCTCTGAATAGTATAATGTACACGCCATAATTGTACATTTGATGCCTGAAATTAGTGAGTATAAACTCGTGCTGAGACATCTTCAATTTACGAAAGAGAACCCACCTCGCCGATATTGATTCATCCAACCATACTACGTTTCCGACCTCTCAAACGGACATCATCCAATCTCCTTTTCACCGCGACCCACTCTTTCCCCATCTTTGCCTCATACGCGTTCAAGACCGACGCGAACAATGGCTCAGATTCTGGGTGCGTCGACGAGAACGCACGTTCGAGGACGTATAAATCAACAGCCTTGTCCTCCACAAGGCCGGATACATATGATAACCCAAAATCAATAAGGTATAGCGAGGTCGGGAGGCTAGTTCGGCCTGGATGACGAAGCATCATGTTCGAAGTGGTAAGATCGCCGTGGATGATATCTGTAAGATGCATCTTCGCAATCTCCGTCCCGACAAGGCCCATGAGAGCCTCAAGAGACAAGCCGTATTCCTCTAAAGATTCGGCTGTAACATCCAACTCCTCCTCGTTGTCATCGTCGTCCTCAGGTTCAGCACCGGGTATTAGTTTTCTGATGCTTTGTCCATCGATCCATTCGAGACCAAGGACGCCTTCGCTGGCATCGACCATGCGTAATCCTGGCACGTTTACGCCAGATCGAAGGCATTTCAGTAGCGCTCTGGCCTCTCCGGCGACCCGAGCGCGTGTTAGCGACGCGTCTAGAGACGGATGCCGATATTGTTTGTGGAAGCGATGTTTGATCAGAAGCGGCGTGGAGGCTAATGTCGTTTTGTAGACTTTGGCTTCAGCACCCTGAGATATAGGCTGAGATGTTGCGATAAGGCTAGTTGAAGGCGAATGCGCCATTATAGGCTTAGCAGACTTGATGGTGGTAAGAAGGTAAAAGTGATGACAGCGTCGATCATGTTTTACACCGTCACATGGCCTCTTACGAAGTGCTCCGAGCCTCGAGGTGTTTAAGTTGTTGTTTTGTGTACTCCAGCTCAAGAGGTGAGCGATCGTGAAATCCCGCACACAGATCTGCTCGCGTGGTTCTCGCGTGCTGCAGATGCCGCGTCGCGGCATAGGCCAAACACGAGCTGGAAGGACTCAGCCTTCTGGCCCCAAAAACGGCCCCTTCTAGCTTTGAACATAGTACTAGGATCACTTGTTTCTCCCCGGTTTCCTGGTCAGTGGCGGGAAATAGGGCTGAATCAGTACGGCAGGCTGGGCTGATGCTGCAACACCTCGTCTTTGCTAGTTTATAGCTTGTTTTATCGTTCAGATCCTCTAACAATATTCTGTATAAGACAAACATATGTCTTGCATGCAAATGGTACCGATATTTGCTCATACAATGCGGGCAGGACGTGCTGCCCCACTTGCCAGCTTCAGCCCATGCCGGGACGCGGCATCTGCAGCACGCGAGAACCACGCGAGCAGATCTGTGTGCGGGATTTCACGATCGCTCACCTCTTGCTCCAGCTAACTCTCTCTGGAGCTTCATTAAATGCAACGAATGGGGCAACCCTTTGGAATATAGTACTCCCGGAGTATTTTCAACGCCACGCTGGAAACGAAGCCTAGATCTGCCAAGTACAAGTTCGGAAGATAATGACCGTTGCACGTAGCGTACTCCCGCACTTCAACGGAATACTAATATCAAACACGTACGGTCCTTTCAAAACACTTCTAGAAGCGAGACTCCGAGGCTCACGCAGGCAATCAATCACCTCGTGTCGCAGCGAGGTTGTGCCCATTCAATAATGGTTTGCTGTTCTCGCGAGAAATGCGGCTCAATCGTCACTGGCTAAGCTGCGAAGGGGACAATGACTCGACCCCCGCGCACTCTCTAAACAGTCCTTATCTTGATGGCGAGCTAGTGTCGATCGCGCCCGTCAATTATGTGCAATGGACAGCTGGAATTTTGACTAATGCCTAAACTCGCAGGTCAGTCAGAAATACTGGCCATCGGCGAAGCTTGTGTATTATTAGACTGACTTACCTTCCTCAAGTCTACCTTGCGAGCTCTCCGGACGATTGCGGCCGCTGCAATCATTCCTGTTCTATACAGAAGTCTGGTGGCAATGTATCATTGTGGGCTTGAGCATGGGACGTTCGTGAAGAAGGCTAGGGTGCATGTTACTATGAGGTGCGATTCTATGTAATTCCTAGTCGTAAGATCATTATTATGCGGCGTGTAGGGTTAGAGCAGTAGGTTCAAGGTATACTTCCAAGCTGTCCGTCGTTACATCATGTCGTAAGAGGAGCATCAGGACTTGGGCTACGAGAACGACAACAGAAGCGCAGCAAAGAACACGATGGTAGAACACAGCGATGGCCATGGAGACACCGACAACGCAGCATTCCTACAGCATCAAGGTCGTCAGCACATTATTGTGGAGAAACATAGAGCGAGAACATACTGGTCGGACTGTGGCCGCTCCGTGATCGTCACCTGTAGGACAGCGACCAATCCGTCAACAGCATTGGTTACACCATCAATCAGAACAGTCAAGTTGTGATTTATGCCGATACTCGTGTTCTGAAGCATTCCAGACGCGTAGGACACATCGGTCTTATAAGTATATCCACCATAAGAAGTCGATCCAGAATACGTCGACTCGTTGGTGAGTGTCAATGTCGGTATTACAGATCCAGTGATATTGCCGACGATATAATCGCGACCAAGATTATAGCCGTTGGGCACGATGTCGTGTTGCACTATAGACAAATTTGGAGTTGGAAATTAGCTGGTGAGAACGTTGTGATTGCCTCACGTGAAATGGGCATCTCGTAGGAACACGCCATAAATATCGCGCCACTGGGGGAAGCGTCAGCACGTGTACTTGCCTATCGATAAGGCGCTCACCTGTTCCCCCCGTCGCCGTTTTGTACCCAGTAGCGGAAGTGATTTCCACCTTTGATCGTCTCTGTGCACGAGCCGAGCGCTGGATCGCCGTAGTTATACCGAATCACTGCCGTCTCGTTTACTGACCAGACCCAGATAAGCATGAGCGACAGATGTTTGACGCGACTTGGAACGCACGATAGCCATTTCCGTCGCCCAAATCTACCTGCTGCGCTGTTCCTTGATGTTGGCCCAAGCATTCTCCGGAAAACTGTAATGACCTGTGAAGATAAAGTTAATGACGAGCGTAAGGGAATACTTTGACACGTACAAAAAGTAGTTCGGAGGCCACCGTTCTCCTCCTGATCTTTGAGCATTTGCTCATCCGAGTTGCCGGAGATAATAGCGTTTACTGGTTCTGCTTGTCCAGGCGGGTATGTCGTCCCAAGGATGTTCTACGCGAAGGAATGGGTTCAAGACATCAGATCGATGAAAAAGTGGGCCTACTGTCAATAAGGACCCTCCTCTCTCAGATTCATACGGATTATAGTATCCCGCCTCTGGGACACTTCGATCTGCTCTTCGCCAGAAAAAGAGGAGACTGCGTATGTCGAGCGCATAAGAAAGAGAGGGTAGACAAAGCAGAAAGAGAAATGCAGGAACTCTAAACATGACAATCAGAATAGAAGAAGGGCTAAAGGAGAGCGCGCCCACTTTGGCTTGAGTGCCTTGGCTGCAAGAGCCAAGAAGGAAGATTAGGTCAGCATAATCTGTTTCCTTTTCCCTCAGTGAAGACAAAAGCATACATACCGTCAAAATACAGTTTCAAGTCTTATTCCACTGTGATTGCAATGCAGCTACTTGGAACCCGTCAGGTGCACCTAATTCGTGTTGCTCTCATTACATGACAAGGCGCTTTGACATCTTGTTGATGGCTCGGAAGCCTAACCGTGCCGAACTCTAAGCTACTCTAAGAACTACCAACGGACCGTTACGGACGAAATGCCATGGGCAGCAGAAGTCCGGCGGTACTGTTGCTTTATTCAAGGGCCATCAGGATCAGCATGATTTTAAGATGGAGCTCCAGAGAATACAGCGAGTCAGAAGCCAGTCAACATGCGCCCATCTCTGTTTTCGTTCTTCGTACAAGCTTCTGTGGTCTTCGCAGCGGCCTCTCCTCCTGTGGTAAAGTTGGACGATGCCGTGGTCACTGGTACTATAGATGGACAGACG